CCGACTCTTACGCTTTCTAATCGTATTTTGTTAAGTAGAGCAGTAGCATTAGATAGAGCGATCAAAACTGACTAAGTCTCACTCGAAGAATCGACTGGAATCAGTAGCTCAAACTACCGCAAATAATCTCTAGTGTGAAAAATCAGATATTAGTGCATTACCACTGTAAACATTTTTTTTTAATATTCAGAAAGAGGCATTTAATAAATTTTAACATAATTTTATCAGTGTTTATCGTTGAATCAATCATTGTTTATATATTTTGATTTCAAATTTTTGAATTTTTCCAGAATGTTTCTTTCTTACAAATAGCTTAGTAATGATCTTGTCCAATCCGGATGAAATGCGATTTCAGATTATATGAAAAACAGATTAAACATGAACACAATCATCATTCTTTGGTCTCAATCTCTAAAATAATTTGTTCAAGTCTCAAATAGCCTAACTTTTGATTTCATATAAAAAGTTCGAAAATAAAAATGTTAAAATAAATGAGACTGACAATAGACAATTATCAAACAGTTTGTAGCGTGTAATATCAGTGTGATACTCAAACAACAATTTTTTTTTTGTACTTTATATTTTATTTTAATACCCATGACAATAAAGTAACAAAGTAGATAAATCCTAAAAAGGTTAACAAGAAAAGATCATTTACTTTTTTCAACTAATGGAGATAGTCCTTCTAGAACATCATCAAGATTTATTGTATTTTGATCAAATAAAATTCGGAGTGAACGAATTGGTTGTTGAAGCGCAACAGATTTTTGTGTTTGTTCCTCTTGTCATCCGTCATCGTCTTCAGCATCCGTTAGCTAACGAGATAACGTTTCTCACTTCAAAATAGCTTTTGTATTTGAGCTCTGTGCATAAGGTAGGTCCCAATAAATTATTAAAAATTACAAAAGAATAATAGCACCTTAGTTTTCCTTAAAGAGTTATAGATGTCTTGCTGAAATTTTGCCTATAGATAGGTCTATGTATAACTGGAATGTCCTGAAAATTCCAGTGAAATATCTATAACTCTGTAGGAAATACTTAGGGGCCCTTATCCAGTTGTGTTTTTTAATATCACACTGGGACCTACTCTATACACATAGTCTGAAATCAAATTGGTACTAGAATGATGGAACATCTTTCAAGATTTGATTTTCGAGTTTTTTATAGCAAGTTCAGCTTTTTCCTTGTCAACATATTGAAATCAAGAATAAACTGAAATTTAATCGTAAATATTTCTCTATTTGATAAAACTTATCATTGAGTTTTATTAATTTTATATTTCGACTAGGATTACAATCGATATTTATTTAGGAACAATACAAAAAGTAGCATTCTATTAAGATTCTGTATAATAATGAAAAATTTTTTCATGTGTTTCCGAATCAAATTTTGGTATAAAGTCAATATCTATAATTTCTTCTAGACCTTCACTTGATTTTGGTGCTTCATAATTCTTCTTATAGACATTATAACCAACATCTATAATAAAAAAAAGAAATTTTTTGTACATATATAAAATTTTTCTCTTGAATTTCTTTTTGTAACATACCAGGTATTCGACGAACGTCACCTGATGTTTGATGAACACGAACATAATTTAAATGATGACATAATTCAATAGGTGTATTAAAAACAAAACATCGACAAGGAATTTTATGTGATTTAGCTAGAGCAATATACTCTGAACGAGTATCTGCACCTGGATTTGTATTGTCGACAACGATACTTTTACCATTATCTAACGCTTCTTTTGCTGCCTAAATAAAACACAAAACTTAAATAAAGAATTTAAATAGAAATAAATACCGTACTTTAAGACATTTTGCAGGTGTTTGAAGGGTATCACGATTGATTATTTCATAATTGTAAGGTTTAAAATATCGACGAGCAAATGTACTTTTTCCTAAAAGGTTTATAATACAAAAAAAAGGTTTTTATTTTCATCTGAGCAAACCTGATGCTGGCGGTCCTTGTAAAATAACAACTTCCTGTGTCTACAAAAAAAGAATAAAATTAGAAAACCTTAATTTTTATTAATTATGAAATTTTACCGTTTTATGATAAGTTTTTTTTTCATTTGTTGTTTTTGCATTAGATATTTTATTAATATAATCACGTGGATTAATTGAACCCCATTCGAATTTAGTAGTTGATGCTTCATCAAGAAAACATTCTTCAGGTGTTTTGAAAGCTAAAATTTCCTTCGCAAAAATGATAAAAAAAACAACAAATAATTTAATTTAAACTTACGTAATTCAATATTATGAGCAAACTTTCTATCAGCACATGAAAAATCTTTTTTCTTTCCAGGTGTCCAATTATTTATTCGACCTGCAGCATCACCACAATAAAAGCTATTTTTCTTGTCAATCTATTTTTAAAGAAAAATATCATGCGAATAAGAAATCAATCCAAATTTTCAATAACCTACTTCAACACTTTGATTACAATTTTCAACAAAAAAATCATACATTGATGTAGCTGGTTTTCGAAAATGATTTTCACCAGTTGCAATAAATACATAAATAGGTGCATTGGTTTCTTCAATTAATTTTTCACATTTACGTTTTATATCATCTAATTTTGTATGTTGTTTTTCAATACCACCTTGATTGGTAAATATTATTAAACGATAACCATCTTTATGAAGTTCGGCAAGTTTTTTTGGAACTGTTTCATGCCACCATACCCAATCTTGATGATCTATAAAACGAAAAAAAGTGCTTTATAAAGAATTTTTTTGTTGTAAATACTTTTAGCAAATTTAGCTCCGGATTTAACACTAATTAATGTTGAATCCATATCAAATGAAGCAATTTTCGAACAACCAGGTAATGTATCACCATAGAGATAAACTAATGGAATAACACCTTTGGATAATGGTTCACCATGTTCATACCATTTTAAATTAAATAGATTTGTTTCACCTTTGGCACGTTTGATTTCATGTTCAGCTGCTGTAGCAGCTTTACGTTTTGGTGCCGCACGTCTGGACATTGTTTGTGTAAAATATTCAAGTAAAAGTTTTTTTTTTTATGGTTATGAATTTTTTTTCAAGGGTATTTATTTAGTTAGGTTGTTGTTATTGTCGTATTGCATGACCGTTATGCAATAACAACATCTTGCTATGAATCAGAGAATGATTCTTTTTTTTTTCTGTTTTAAACTTTCTACTATTGGTTATTTATTTTTGTGAAAACAGTTCAATATATTATTCAGTTGAAGATGTCATGACGAACAGAACACATAATGACAATTTTTAATGAATATTTATAGGCTAATTTGTACAGTTAAGAAACCTATGGTTATCAAAGAACTATAATTTTTGTTTCAGTATATATGCTTTCTGTCAAATAAATATTTGTAACTAACAAGGAAGTTTAATATGTAGTGAAGCCTCACGACAAAAAAGGCATAATTAATACTGTTTATTTTTCAGTCGTTTGTTTGTTTAAGTAAAATTAACTAGTTAAACTTAATTACACTATCATTTTATCCATTACGTTTTGAATAGTTTAGTTGGTATGAAATAAAATGACGATAACTTCTTACATGTGGGCTAGCGTCCGTCGGGTTAATTCTAGACCAGACCTGGATTCGATTGATTGATTGGGTCCGGATACGAAAATTGTGGACCCGATGGGGCTCCAGTGGTCGGGGAAATGTATAGAGTGCGCTAGTGATCGAATAGAAACAACCAGAAAAAACATCTTCTCTCGTCTTGGTAGTATCTTGCACGCGCACCCATTTTTTCAATCGAAACTCAAACCGAAGCTGATCGACGTCTAGCAGATACTTTCCTAGTTACATTATGGTTTTCAAAATTTTATTTTATATTGAAAAAGTATATTATTTAGTTTCTTCCATAAACAGCAACAAAGAAAAACGAAATATTCTTAAATCCCACAAAAAAGCAAATGATTCAGAATTCAATTGGTGTGAATGACGCTGTAATGAAATGCAGTGTTGATGTCAAAAGTTATAATTGTAGAAACACATACATGAATGCTTTTTTCATGATGATAATATGTGTTCACGATTTTGATAATTTATTTTCTTCTTCATGTATTCAGTTACTTCGTCATTTGGTTTATCATGATTTGCAGGTGAGTTTTTATTTAAAATGAATTCTCTTAGTAAAACAATATCGCTTTCTACTTTCGTGACCTGTTCTTAAGTACAATAAGTTGCCCAAACATGATCGAATCGATCGTGACTCCTATGTTTTTATATAAATTAGCAGCTTGATTGTAGATTTGGGTATGTAGTGTGGGTGAAGAGTCGACTCACACCAACATAGCCACACTCGTATCTTATCCTGCAGAAATGTATTATTATTTGACCATTACAGACAATAATAAATGTGAACTTGAATCTGTAGTCATGAGACTTCACGTGATAATCTGCCCTATTCCGTCCTACCGAAAGATTTGTGTAAAAATTGTTTTGCTATTCATATTGAGTTCGGATAGATGTATTACAGTCACCAAGAAGATTTTCAATAGCAACTATTATGACTAAAATGATACGAAGACGACAAGATTAGATTTGAAATTCACTTGTCTTCGAATCGACATCAGTTTTGAACGTTCAAACCATAAACTTATAATTTTAACCGCTATAGGATCAGAGAATTTGATTTTGAAAACGAAATATTTTTTATCATATCTTCTTATGTTTAAGTTACAAATCCGCAAAACATAATCTCTTTTGAACCCGGATGACATGCTGGTTGATAAATTGGAAGCTCAATAAGGGAATTGATTAATATAGAAATATTTTGAGAATTCTCTACCATCTTTCCATCAATCTGGTTACCTAAATCATGCTGAATTTTTTCCGGATTTCGCTAAGATCTATTCTTGAATCAAATATCATCGAACTCTGAAGACATATTGCATTGGAAAATAGTTTCTCGTACATTTTATTGATCGTCGTAAAATTTTGTTTTTCTATAAATAAGATACAGTTATTATGACAATTCATCCTTAATATTTTGACTAATTATAATAATCAGGAGCAAGTTTTAGTGTTTGTATAAGAATGGGATCATGACAAAGAAATAGACGTGTATTAGGTAACGATGCTAATTGATTCAATCGTCGAATAGATTCAAGTGCAGCTATATCATCAACGGATTCTCCAGGCAAGATTTCTTTCTCATAATTTTCTAATAAATCACCAGCATCACCCGTCATAATTATACTTGTTCCACTTGGCAATAGAACACGAACAGATTGATGACCAGATGTATGACCACGTGTCGAAATTAAATCCAAACCGGATACAATATTCATATCACCATCAATTAAAAATCAATCAGTTTCAGGTCGATTGTCATAATCATCACGAAACCATGCACTACCTAATTTTTCTTGTGATTGAAATGCATATTCGTATTCTTGACGTTGAATATAGATTTTTGCGTTTGGAAAATATTTTAAGTTTCCTGTATGATCTGCATGTGTATGAGTTAAAATAATATAATTAATCATTTCTGGTTCTACACCAATGAGTGATAGTTGATATTTCAAACGATGTACCGGAAGTACTACTGGAGGTGCTGTCCAACCACGATCAACGAAATATTTTTTGGCTAATATTGGATTATCAATACGTGTTTCGTCAATACCACTATCAACAAGTATCTAACCTTCTGTCGTATCGAGTAAATAGGCACTAATTGGTTCACTCATGATAATATTTGCACCAAGATTGCGAGTCGATACTGTTTTAGGAAGAATTTCAAATCCACATAGTAAAACATACAGTCGTCGAACGGAAGTTGTCGTATTCTGAACAATAGTTGACATTTGTATCTTTAAAAAATAATGCAAAAGAGACAAAGCGGTGATAATACTAGTGAAGTTTGATATAAAATCAATTGATTTCACTTTTTCACACGGATTTTGGATACCGTAGAGAGATACATAAAAACATATGTTTCCTATTCTATATTCTCATTGTGTCTTTCCTTCTTTATTTACTATCACTCTCCTTGTAAATATTTTGTCGATGCATGTGGCATCTGTGATTAATTCGATTTTTATTGGGAAGTAATAGGCACATGTCATTTTCGAACTAATATATAATTGAAGCAGCTGAGACACGGTAATAAATGATTATTGTATTCCAGGCCTGTGAATGGCCTGATTTTTCTACTAACTGGATATGCTTTATTGATAAAAAATTTTCAGTATGCAATCATGAATTGAGCCTACTCGAAACTTTTGCGAAATCATTAAAATATAATCAGTTTACCTAGTAAAACATAAGTTTATACCATATTTTTATCACGTACACTACAAAAACTAGGCTGAAAACCTCCTTTCTTATTACAGACGGTTCCTTAAAGTAGGATGTTTTGAAACGCAATGATTGTGGTCAAATTGATTGTGATCGTGTCACATATCTGAACCAACTTTCAGTCGAATAATTACTACGAAAATGTGGGTATTTGTAAATCATACGTCGCACGGTGGTGGTTCGAGTATCATTCGTTTGTTAAGGAGCTTTTGTTATTTTAGCTTAATTGTCGAACGGGTTGAAGCCAAGCTTTCAATCGAAGTCGCAAACGTTGAAGAGATGATTAAAATTAGTACGAAAGAAGTACAATTCGTTAAATCAACTCGATCAGTCAGCTCTAGAGTATCTACTCACTTTCGTCCGTGTGAATATTTGTCTTTCTTACGTTCTCATCTTTAGTGTGCTGATGTGCTTTATTTAACTGACTTTGTGAAAATCATCTGGTCAGATTCACACACACTCCTCACCTATGAAAAGCAAGTTTCAAAAATTTTGCTTATCACATTTAACCTGAATCACAATCTCCTCTAGTATATATGTGAACCATTTCGTATGGGTCATGATCGATGATCGCTGATTCAAGTAGCTTCTACTTATGTTATTAGCGCAACTCTTTGATGAATTTCTACGCAAGTTATTTACAAAAAGATTATTCCGTCACAAGAGATATTTAATTTTTTCTAAGATCGTTGTCATCATAAAAACACTTTCTTGCGTTTCTTGTGATACCAATATCTCATTGTGGATGCATTCGTTTGACTTGAAACTTTTGCTGTGAATATATATCAGGTTCCACACTACTTCTCATGAAAAACAACTTAAATGAATGAACTGTTGATAAGTGGACTATTAAATTAAATATATAAAAGAATTATCTTTGCATCAGTATTTTGTGTATATACCTAACTCATGCACAGATCACGTTAAAAAGCAGATCTTTTGACTTTAAAGAGATTTTATTGAGTACTTTGATAAAAATAACAGCTCTCTAGATAGGTACTAAAAAGTATTACAATCAACTGTTATCATCTTACACTTTTGTCTACATTTCTCTATGTTATGATTTTCTTCTTCTCATTACAGCAGCTGTACTTTTTTCATTTTGTTATATTGTTATCAATTCTAAACAAAGCGATCAGAATATTCACCTAATGAATTCACAATATTGAATGTAGTTATATTAACAAGATGGATAGCCATGTATCTCCGAAGTTCAGGATATTGAGGTACGAATGTGGGGGTAGGTCTTATCTTAATCTCCTTCCCTCGTCGGGGACCCAGAGCCTACCCTTCAATCTTATAATGACAAAAAACGTATCTTAAAGTGATAAAAAGTTTTAATTAAAATATTGATTTTTAAGGCTGGTTTTAGTCTGCTTTTTTTTTTATTGCACAATATGAAAAAGCCTGAATAAACAAAACAAAAAATAAAATAAACAAAATTGATTTATGTCAACAACTATCTATATCCATCTTTTGTCGTCGAACAAGTTCTTGATAAATTCCATTACTATTTTCCATTAATTCTTCATGTGTACCTTGTTCAATTAAATGACCTTTATGTATGACAAATATTTTATCACATCGTTCTATTGTACTTAATCGATGTGCTGATATAAGAACAGTTCTTTGTTCTTGTTTATCTTTATTATAAAATAAAGCATCTTGAATCTATTAAAAGTATATATATATATATATAAGAGAAAGATTAATTCATTTGAAAATTTTTACCAAACGTTCATTAACAGGATCTAAAGCTGATGTTGCTTCATCTAACAGAAGTATGGTAGGTTTTCGAATAATAGCTCGAGCAATAGATATTCGTTGTTTTTGACCACCTATTCAATTGAAACAAGAATTCAAAACAAAAATTATTCGTGATGAATTCTTACCGGATAAATGACCACCACGTTGACCACATTTAGTATTATAGCCATTAACAAGATCAGTAACGAATCCATGTGCATTTGCTTCTTCAGCTGCATGAATTACTGCTGCATCATCTCGAATATCATTTTCATCATTATCACTTATTGCATATATTATATTTTCTTTAATAGTTCGATTAAATAAAATAGGTTCTTGTCCAACCATAGCTATTTTTTTATGAAGATATTTATGATCATAATCATGAATTTCTCGGCCATCAATTAATATTGTACCACCACTTGGATCATAAAAACGTTCAAGTAAATTAATACATGATGATTTTCCTAATTAAAAAAAAAGAACGAAATTCAATAAAAAACTAATATGAATGATTTTTTATTTTATTTTACCGGAACCAGATGGCCCAACAAAAGCACATGTTTGACCTGGCTCGATTTTAAATGTTATGTTCTATAAAATGAACTGAATCATTAAGTTAAAACAAAATAAATCAATTTTACTTGAAGAGCAATTTCATCTGGTCTTGCTGGATAAACAAGTGAAACACTATTAAATTCGATTTCACCTCGAAATTCTTGTGGTTGTAGTGTACCATTTGGCTTGTGTACTGGTTTACGATCGAGATAATCAAAAACCGATTGACTGGCACCAGCTGCTGTCATAAGAGCTGTATATATTTGAGAAATATCCTTTAATATAAATAATTCGTTCACTTAAAAATGAAATATATTTATTTACACTTAAAATTGATCCAAGTGTTAATTGATATATAACAAATGCTAATAAATCTGGCCCAGCAACTCGATTGTTACGTACAAGTTGAGCACCATAAGAAAGCATAACAACACTCATACCAAGTTGAGCTAACTATTAAATAAAACACAGATAATTAATTACTTGTATTTCATTGATCAACATCTTTTTTACTACACGTTTACAAGGGAGCTTTCTCGGCTACTTCATTCCAATTTCAATGTTTTTTTGCTCATAGATACTGCATAATGTTCTAATAAAAACGCTAAAAGGATTTTGACTCTTTATGGGAATTGAGAATTAGCTACGGAATTTTGTTTCTACAGATCTCAGGTTTTTGAAAAACTCGCATTTCCGAATTTTACCCTGAAGCTTTGTGCATGTAGAAATCTCAACTTGACTGGCTTTTATAAAAGAAATTCAGAAGTTTCGAAAAAAGTCTCTTTGAGATATGAAGCTTTCTCAACACACTATTCATGGAAAAGGGTCTATATCTTGAAAGTCTTGTATTTCGAAGAGGCTTGGTTAGAAGCTTCTGAATTTTATTTTATGAAGGCTGGTTCAATTGAATTCTCTATATGAGCAAAGTTTCAGATCCAAATTCGAAAATATGAGTTTTCCGAAAACTTGGGGTCTTTAGAAAAAAGATTCGATAGCTTATAGTGAAATATCAATAAGAACTCAATTGATTTAGGGTTATTTTATGAACACACTATACAGTATCTAAAGGTAAAAAAATCATTGAAATCGAAAGAAAGCAGCTGACAAAGTTCCTTCATCAATAAAATCATGTCTTTTACTTTCTAAACGACAGCTATCTATATCTGAATGAACTAGGAAACTAACTAGTGATACTTGACACAAAAGATGATGAGAAGGAAAAAACCTGAACTATATCAAGAGAAGAGAACATTAGGAAAATACTTTAAAACAAAGGAAACAAGCAAAGATATATAACCTATATCATATTATATGAAATTTTTTTGACTGATAATGTCATCATCAATCAACGTGGTGAACCATTCTTCCTATTTACATCAAAATAACTACTGACAGAAATACTATTCATTTAATGAATATATGAATTTTTAAACGAAAAAACTGAATTGTCTACTGGTACTTTAATTTTAACTTTTAACAAAGTATTAATTTACTGAGTAAACATAACAGTTACCAAACACTAAATTTTAGGTGACACAACAGTAGAGCTCCCGACATTTGAGCTTCGAGAAATTACGAACGTGAAAGATTATCAAACATAGAATATTTATTTAAAAAAAGTTAAACAATAAATAAGGTTCTCGGCACTACTACAATTCGTCGCTATCTACCTGTTGCATCTCTCTTA